CAAGCCAAATACTTGGGACTTTCTCCTAGTTACAATTTCCCACCGGCAGCAACCTTCACCAACCAAAGTGTATTTCCGATGGAGCTGGCAACTACCCAGAGTCCAAGGCAGCAATAACTGTGGGCCTGGGTACCACCAGTCTCAATAACATGAGGTATAAGCACCATTTTAGGAATCGCACGAATATAAGCACTCAAACTCACTCTCTCCAGGGTTAACAAAGGTCAAAGGAAAATAAAAGGTACACTCACGAGTGCTTATCTACTTAGATTTTATATCAACTCACAGGCGTGTGTTCTGAAGTATGTTCTCCATCTACAGCTAGAAATGTAAAATTACTTGACACTTTTTCCATGTAATTTTTACTTTTCCTTTGATTGACTAGAACCTGTGAATGCTTTGCATGTATACTCACAAAGTGTCTGTGAATTTAAAGAAGCAGGAAATGGCCTCAAACTCTGGAAGTTTCTCCTCAATGTGAAGTTCCCTCACAAGGGATTATGTCTTATTTCTCACTAAAGCGTAGGCCACAATCAGTATCAGAAAAATAGCCTTAGACTAGAATAATCCAGATTAATTAAACTTTGCTGATACAGTGGCAGAGATAAAAGGCTTTATCCTGTGAAACACTCATATCACACTGTTTCAGAGAAAAAAAAAAAAAAAAAAAAAAAAAAAAAAAAACTTTTTGTCCTTAGAAGTGATTTTTAAAAAAAAAAAAAAAAACACTTTGTGCTCTTAGAAGTGATTTTTCAAAGAGAAAAACCCACTCTGAAAATTGCCAAGGTGTGATAGTATTTGCCTAAGCGGACAGATGGACACATTACAGACTAAAGAGCTATATTCATTTGTCCCTTAACACCAGTGTGTAACATTTATGCTGCACTCCTTATAAAGCAATAAAGTTATGCTGAATACATGAAATAAAAAGCACAACACGTCATTTCAAATTTAACTGAGGACAGAACCGAAAAAACAACAGATCAAAAGCTCGAGTGCAACGATACTATGCTCCAAGCGTAAGCAAACATTATGGGGGGAAGCTCTGAGTGCTGCTAATGGACTTGACCTATTTCACTTCCAAGCCCTGGCCAAGGACGCCCTGCTCTAACTTTTCTTCTGTGAGATTTATAAATTGACTTTGCAACATAATGAACTAAATACTTCACCTTTAATATTTTGCATTCATACCAAAAACAATTAACAGTTTTTACAAATAGTGTTATTTACTAAAACAACTCTTGTACAACAGTGCAGTATATCTAAATATATACATATGCCAACATCAAAGGGAGCATCAAAGCAAGCTAAAAAGAATGCACTTTCCTATTGCGTACTTTATTAAACCCAAACAGACGCAGCAGTTTTTTTCTTTTTTGATGACAAGGACAAAAAAGTTACTTGGATTTCCAGAAGCACGTGCAGGAGGGAGAAACAAAGACTCCTACCACCTTTTTGGTAAGGTAGCAGCAACAAAAGTGAGCGTTAGATCTTCAGTTTTGTATTGCAGCAAGTGAAATGTTTCTAAACACAAATACTTTAAGAAACAAGGCCTCGAAAAGTCTTACAGTGCTTCTAGACATCGAAGAAAGTTCAGTTTTCAAGGCCTTCCTGCTTTTGACTGTGGTGGTATGCACTGTGTGCATAGCATACACATGAAGGTTAACACACTTTGTTGCAGCTGAAAAGGAAAAAGGAGCATCTGTAGTGGAAAGTTGGTCAAATTTGCTAAGATAGATTAACAGAGTAAAAAATGATTCTGCCTGCTGTTAACAATGTAATTTATACTTCCCTTCCAAATCTTTTACTGATTTTTATGCAGAAGGAATTATGCTCCTCATTCTCCACAACGGACACACGCAGTTGGTCCGGAGGGAACTGCCGTACTGCGGGCATCTGATTCCAGCGCCACTGTAGCTGCTCCAATTACAGAAAATCCTTCTCATTCTTTCTGTGGAGCCCGGCAGATAAGGAATAATGTAACCTTTATAAGCAAGGACCACAGAGACATTGTTGAAATATGAGTGAAAAACACAGGTGATATTAGAGAAAATGTGAAAACAAAGCAAAAAAAAAAAAAAAAGAGAGAGAGAGAATGAGGTATTAAGCAGTTCTCCAGTGTAAATCTGATGTTCCTGCCATCTAGATGAAATCAGAGAACTATTATAGCAGCCTAGAATTGACCAGCACAAAATACGTTCATGCTATTAGAAGCAGATTTATCTCCTTAGTGACATCTAAGTATTTGCGTATTTGCAATCTGGCAGAATTCTCCAGAGTCCCGGTGACTCAAATCCATTTTAGCGCGTTTCTCCTCCCCTCCTGACAAAAACCAGGAACAGTAACCGGACCACGAAGGCAACGCACGCAGTGGTTCCGGCCTGTTGAACCGCAGCACGGTGGCCGATGTCCTCGTTGCTGCTGCGTTACTCCCACCAACGCGCTCCGGCTGCGACCGTTCAGCACGGAGCTCCGTGGGCGCCGGTCACCGCGCCGGGGGGCCGTTTGCTGCAGCTGATTCGCAGCTCCGCGCTCTGGAACACGCTCCCATATCGTCCGTGCAGCAAATCCAACACCAACGCATTGCCTCGGCGTGCTTCCTCTAACAGCCAAGATTAGGTTATGCCCACATGAACTGAGATGATGCACACTGGTAAACACTACAGACACGACATGAACAGAAGGCACTTTCCAGAGTTTGCCCCAGTTCCTGAAAGCCAAAGCATTACAACACCCCTTCCAAAGTTAACTTTCATTTTCAGATTCCTTAATTAAAAGGGTTAAAGCATTATAGGAAATATTCCAAAAACATTTTATCACTTAATTGACAATCTGTGTGTAAAGAAATACAGAATTCAGAATTCAGCCTTCTTCTACAGAAACATGAAAAGCAGCTGTCTTTTCTGGAATTTCTTAATTTTCAGAGAGACTGACTTCTTGACATTTAGGTTCTTTCCTCTAAAAGGTTTCCACAGAGCAGTAATGCAATAGTACAACTCTATGAACTCTCTGTGAAGTTGGTCAAAACAACACATAAATGAGGAATCTCAGAACTGACCACCGCAGAGAAGCACCAGCAATGGCATCTTCAGGTAGTTAAATTGAGAGGTAAATTGAATTGTAATTGCTAATTTCTCAGAGAGGGAAAGAAAGGATGAGCAAAGGAATCTGTGCAACAACAGTGTCTATCAAGGTAGAAGGCACCACTGAAGCATGTCTAGAGTAAAAGACACAATCACATGAGAACACCACAATCTTCAAAGCTGTTTAATGAGAAAAAAAAAAAAAACACTAAAAAGCTAACTAACTACTACACAAATTGACAAGGAAAGGAGATGATACCACCTAACAAATTCACTGATTTTTTTAGTAACTTTGAGCAGGGGCTTAAAGTGGCATGAAGAAAGAGAAGTGTCCACTGTTTTTTCCATTCTGAACTTCTACTACATTGAAATCAGTGTGATATTGGTTTTTAAAAAAGGATTTGGGTCATAAACACACATTAAGTCATAAGCGATTTAAGTTTTCTTAAAAAAGGGATGTGCCCAAGAATACAAAATGGGAGACAGAGAAGCCTCAACAACTGCACACATTTTCAGTGTTCAAAGGAGAAACCAGGACAATAATTTCTGTTAAAGATTTGAAAAAAAATAATGTAAAAAGACAAATTAACATAAAAAAATGCTGAGGCATTTCTATATGGAAATTTCATGGGCTCTTAGTGGGAAATGACATTCCATATAGGAAAACAATAGTCAACAATAGTCAAAACTGTAGCCACAGACAACTGGGCTATTTAGACACTTCAAGTTTCTCCTTAGAGCCTATGAATGATGGAATAAGAAGTTATTTTCATTTTTGTGTAGAAATTACATACTTCTATTCACATTACTTTTCTGCATTCAGAATAAGATATCCAAAATATAAGGGGAACACTATATAAGCCTTAATTAAAAAAAAAAGAAAAATTTGTTCAATGTATTAAAAAGCAATCTAAAGGTTTTTAAATTCCTCTCAAGCTCCATAGTTTTGTGATGATACCATGATACCCAGGCAATGTGTTTTTGAGGGTGTGAGGGAATTACGAGCCTGGAGAGGGGAAAAACAACAACAAAACTAAAACATGAAAATCTGAGTCCCCAAATGGCCAGCTCTATCATCATCAACTGGAATAGATCAGCTCTGGGCATGTTTGGTAACCATTCTGGTTAGGAGTTAAGCAAAGTAGTTGTTTCCAAGCATTCAGAGGCAAAACATCAGCAGCTACTTAAACACTGAAAAGAAGACATCCAAGGTAGCTATGGCAGGAGTGTCCAGGATAACGGGTTAGCTGGTAGGACGATGTACACCAACTGCAACGTTTAATTCCAGAAGCATCACGTTAAAATACAGTGCATAAAACCAAAGATTTCTTGACATACACACTAAGACACTGAAAATACAGATCTGATGTTGAAGCCATCAAGTATTGCTGGAATAAGAGTCGTCAAAAAAGGTAAGAGGACACCAGGATGCATTAACAGATTGGAAATGGAAAGTAACAACAATTTTTGCACAAGGAAGTCTGATCAAGCATATGTAAAATGTTTCCTTCCATTATCATATTCCATTTGCAGCACCTAAGCCTTAAAAAAACAGAAATAATAATGCCTTAAAGAGCATCTGGCTAAATTACTGAGAAACAAAGGCTAATACAAGCTGCTGCAGGAGAAAATTCAAATAATCTTGGATTGAATCAAAATAAGAGGCTTCATAAAACTATTTATATGACAGAAGGACTTAAACTTAAATGCTGCAACAATTGGAAACTGACAAAAATTAACAGATGTTTAAGGCAGAAGTGTTTTGTGTAAGAACAGTAAACACAGAACAAATTGCTAAACAAGGCCACGAGAGATAAAATAAAGCCCTGAAGATTTGTTCAGCAAAGCAATTTAACTTGTCCATAATTCTCCATGTTTTAAATAAGAAGACTTGAATAGTGTTATTCATGCTGTGTGTTCCAGTTTAAATCTCCAGCGTTTCTCTTCCAACTCAATTTCTGTCTTTGGTGTAATCTCTACCAGCACACATAGAATACAACTCCAATTCTCATTATAAAAAGCCAACACGGAAAAAAATAAATTACATGCTTTTGATGATAGAATGTAAGATCCTGGTCTGTTATATGGTCCCATGATATGTTTAGCAGCCTCTGAATAATAGTTTTAAATTATTAGTAATATGTGAAGCAGAATCATATTTTGCTGTTATTGTCCCAGACGACTTTAAAACTTAACTAGTTTACTTTGGTAGATAAAGTCAGCTAATAGTCATGATACACTGTGTTCATTTCAAAAGTAATGAAACCTAGACTCAGGTAAGTTTGGAAATTTATATATAGACCTTAGCTTGTACGTGTAACCATGATATGCAGAATTACTTGTCCTGTATTGCAAAAAGACATCACATCTGTCATAAAACTAGATAAAACTATGAAACACAGTTGTCAGTTCTTGATTAAAATAAAATAGTGTAAATTATTCTTTTAACATTGTGTTAAATATATTCACATGATCACCATAGCTATACGAAACTGTCACTATTGCAATCAAACACTATATGTACATAACATATATGTCACAACAGTTTGCAAGTGTTGAGTTTTCACAGACTAGCCAATTTTACCAGACATAAATAATCTTGTACCAATTTTTAGGCATTTTAAAAGGAATTAAATGTCCTAAATATATCCGTTCCTCTGCAAAATTAAAAAAAAAATCCTAAAAAGTCAGTGCAAATTGAACTTGTTCACCAAGATAGATTCTTATTAAGCTGAGGATAAACAAAGTTTAGGAGATTAAAGGAAGAAACTCATAACATTACCAACTGCATTTAGCAGAGGTTATAAGAAGATCAGGTATGAGAAGTCCTGGGTCCTATAGTAGAGCCTTCTGGGAGTAACTATGTGGTGGCTGCTGTGGTGGTGGCTGTTGTTGTGGAGGTGCTTGTTGACTGCCTGCGGTCTGTGGCACAGGGGTAGATGCTAAGTTATAGTTGGGCACCTGGGGCATATTAGTTCCAGCATTCTGATAGGCAGCAACATCCACAGAAGCAGGTGGTGGGCTATACACCGGAGCCTGGCTAGAATATGTACTTGCAGCAACAGAGCCAACCATTGCACTGAAAAAAAAAAAAAGAAAAATAATTCAAGATTAAATTAAGGAACAACTTAAAAACAGCAACATTGGCATGCATTGTTTTGCTTCTTCAGTTACATTCTCTCTTCTCTCTCTCTCCACACATATATGCACAAAAAGACTCAAGCATATTTCCCATTTAAGAAACTTGCTTGGATTTTGAACTAGATCATACAGAAAGCCATCTGCAACTCCTTTGAAAGGGGAAAGCTATATAAGCTTTATTAAATATTCATCATCCATTTACTTCTTTCTCAAAATGAACATAATTCTTCCTCATTCTACCAGAGTAAGCTACTTGAAACAGAAGTACAGTACAATACTCGCTATTTCAAAGGTTACGCAACACCACCCCAAGCAGCAGATACCCTTGATCATTAAACATACACAAATCAGTTATACTTTTTCTTATGCAAACAAACATGTTCAAAGGCTGTCAAGTCTTGTATGGTTTGTTTTGTTTTAAATCAAATACACAATATCAATAAAACGCACACTGGAAATAACCGCATTGAATTATTTTCACACTGTGTCTAACATTAAACTTATATATTTCTCCTTTAAATATTATCTGTAATCCATTGTTTAAAATAATTGAAAACTTAAAAGAAAAAAAAATGCAGAATTACTTGGTATAGGATGCTTGGGCAGGCTGACCAGGCAGTCCCGAGCTAGCAGATGGAGTAACTGTGCCTTGGCTGAGAGAAGGGAGTTGTTCAGGAGGAAGATTATAACCTTGAATATGTCCCATCTGTGCACTCCCTGCCACCAAATATGCATTGCTTTGAGGCTGCCCTGGATAGACCTAGAAAATTAAATATTGGAACATAAAAAATAAAAGAGATAGTACTGATATTTAATATCTGACTTTGGAACTTTTAAACAGTCTATAAAGCCTTTTATTATAGGAAAGCACCCGATTGTCTTCTGTGTAGTGTAGTAGTATGAAAAAAAGTATTAGATCACATGCAAAAACTGGCATAAGAGAATTGTAATTTGTAACTTCAGTAGTTTAAAAACTAAATGCTCTCTGTTGACATTTTGAAAAAACAAAACTAAAAAAGAGGTGATTTTAGGGTGAGGAAGGCATACATAAATTTAAACTCCTTTTGTTCTTTATTTTCTTTGACCAACAGTGCAAAGGCTTGATCAGCTTTAACTTTTTCATTGGATATTTTGCATGTCACAAAAAACACAGTATATGCTTCTTCCTTGATCAACCTCAAGTCAATAGAACGTAACTAAAATTTGCTAGAACCTGAAAAAGGAAGGATTTCCAAAGCTTGCAACTGAAGAACATTTTATTTTGTTTATATACAAATATTTAAGAGAAAGTTTCACTGAAGTCTATTTTAAGGGGAGCAAGATAATACCTTAATACTAGGTTAAAACCAAGACCATAAAAAGAGATTTTTAACTCTGGAGGGTAGAGAGAAGAGGCTCTGAAACAAACAAAAAAATCACTACTTACAATCAGTATGCCACAGATAGCAGAACTCGGAGCTTCTTACAAAATTTGCATACATTTGCTTTAGTGATTACTGTAAGAATCACTTGTTTGTTCAAAAAAGTTACCTCTGGTAAAGAACTGTATATTGCTGCTAATTTATAAGCTATATACTAATATATACTAATTGTAATATCCATGCCTATTAAAGGTTACATACTTACCTGAGAGCCAGAAACGCCAGATGACTGCATGTAATACTGTTGGTTTTGTAGTTTTGCATACATGGAGTACATTGGGTCTTCATTCATCAACTTGTTATACAAAGAAAGGGCCTCCATTGCTTTAACATTGAGCTCTGAAAGTTCTGAATGTTTCCTAAAAATACATATTATACAACTTACTTTACATTTTAGCCAAATTCAATACAGAACAGACTATACAGAAGACCTACCACGAGGTGTGATAAGCAAAATACTCTTCCAGCCTGTAAAGTGATGCTTGACAAGCGCCATAATCCAAAATAGTGAAACACTACAGAATATTATGTGATAAGAAGCTCTTCAGACTTGTTCCCAAATGAGAAGCTGCTAATAATTACACCTACTTTGTCATTCACAAAAATGACGACAGGTACTGTAAGTAGCAACAGTATTGTTTCTGAAAAGGAGTGAAAACGTATGTGTGCTTTTTACCTGTCTATATCTTCCAACTTTTCATCTATGAGAGGTCCCATCTGGTGGCACATTGCTAGAAAAGAAGAATATTAAAATACACCAGAGTAATAAAAATTTCAAAGCAATTTCATACTTCATGTTAGAAAACAGAAAAAAAAAAAGAGTTAACTAGCAATGTTTAGACATTAATCAAAAGTTTTAAACATAAATCTGTATGCCAGAAACAATTACAGTAACAGATGCTACATTATGGAAAATATGAAATTTTCAGTAATTGTGCAGAGGTGAGGAATCCTTGTTAAAAATAAATAAATAATAAATCATATCCAAAACACAGGGAGCATGAAGCAACTTCAGTTCAGATAGCTGTGGCATAGAAAAGTCAAGAAGGAACTAAATAGCATAGCAAATTTATTTTGCATAAAATCTCCAGGTGGAACACCCAACTTGCAACACAAGTGCTGAAGACTCTTGTAACTGCCAAGTGAGCCACAATCAGCTAAAAGAAAGACTGATTCTGCCAGGCGTAAAAGATGATCCAAAATAAGTGGGCAAGGAAGTTAAGGAAGTTGACACCAGAGACTCCAATTCTATTCCAGAACACAAAAATTACCACTTATCCCAGTAATAAACTATTTACTAATCTGATTAATCCCGTGCAACATGGGATTAATGACAGCCATGCTGCATTTAAACAGGAGAAAACCAGACCCATGCACCAAAGATAACCCAAATCCATTCTAACCAGTTTTTGAGCTTCTATCTCAGTCTCAGATCTCCAGACTTAGAGACACAGAAGGTCCTGAAAACCTCAGGGCCATGATGGCTGAAAAAGTACCACTGATGTGTTGGCCTTTGGGTGAGGAGAGGCATCCATCTACTTCTCTGAAATTTGGAGCAGAAGCATATTGGTAGAAGTACTGCAGAAAGATACGAAACCTGTTGTAAATTCTATGTCTTTATGCTTAACACTAAGTGTGTCAAAAGCCATGACAAGGACTTCTTAGATGCCTGTACACTATCCTTAAAAGGGCTCTGCTGTTGCTCACAGAGCCAATACATGGGAGAATGCTGCGCGGAACGCAGAGGTTCCCATGGTCTATGCAGAGAACTGACAGATTACAAGCCAGCAACTCAAGCCCTTAGAAAGCACCCACTGAAGAGGACAGCAAAGAGACCCTCACTTCATAGGGGAGCCCTCAAACACGTAGGACTGCCTGCAAGTCAAGCGCAAAGAACTTACTGAGGACACAGACTGAAAAAAATCCTTGCCCACAAACAGTAAATCTTCAATTACAGATGGCATCTGCATGGGAAAGCCTGGGGCTTACGACTACAACAGCCTTCAAAGCACTGCAGCTCTCGCTGCAGACTCTGTTCTGCTGTATCAGCTTTCAAGGCACCCCAGAGGACTTCAGCAAGTAAATATTCATGATAAAATTCCTAAGAAAGAAAATCTCTGGTAGGCATCAAGGGGTGTGTGGGTATGTGGGTCTAAAAATACCTCCCTTCCCCCAACTATACTCCTCCCCTCCATAATGAAGATTAAAAAAATGCAACAGAATTAGAAATAGCTTGTAGTCTTTTTGTTGCAGATTGGTTTTATTCCTTTTCACAGTCACCAGATATACCAAAGAAGGAAACGTTTGCTTGAATAAAAAAAAGAAACATGAATATTCCCTCCAGGGGTTCAGTAGTCTTGCCTGGCAGTTACTACTGGCAATGAAACTTATGTACCTTACGTGGGGTGTTTTTTTTTTTTTCCTCCCCTCTCTCTCTCCTTTTGTTACTTTTTTGAGGGGGAGGGGGTAGTGGAGAGAGGGGGAGTGGTGGGGAGAGAGGGTTCCTTCCACAACAGATATTCAGGATATGAATTATTAGTTTGAAAGATTTCCACAGCAATAATTGAAGCTGTGGTCATACAGTGAGCCCAGAAAAGAATTACTATAGCAGCAAGATATTTTTCCAGTTTCAAAAGCCTATTCAGGCTGGTAGAAGAGTTTCCTCAAATGCCACTGCTGTGTCTTCAGTTTCAGTTGTTCCAATCCTAAATCATGTGGGGACATCACTCCTTTGCTGTTTCATAGTCCAAAATGAACCACAATGCAAAAGAATCCCCAAACACATCAAAGATATCACACAAATCATGGTAGGTTCTGACAAAGTTAAGCACCCAACAGGAACCAAAGCAGCTTATTTTCTTCACAGCTAGAAAAATCTATGTGCAGAATGCAGAACCATATTCTTAAAACAAAAGAACTGCATCCATTTTTAAAAAACTTGTTCCCAACGTGAACGTAACTACAAATGCTCTAAAGGATAACTACGCTCCAAGGAAGCCTTGGGCATACATTGTTACCTTATAAAATCAGTGAACAGAAGAGCCTCTAAACAGGTAGCAGAAACAAGATAATAATGGGCTCTAATGCAGCTAAGTGGACCAAACTGACCATAACAATCAGCTCCTCACTTATCCCACACACTTTTTTTAACTGAACTTCTAGATAGATCAAGAATCTGCCATTTTCCTAACAAACTCTGGTCACACCTGAATTACCCATTTAAGCTATGTAGGATGGTGCAAAAAAGGCTATATAGTCTTCCATCTGGTAATGGAGATGTCGTTTTACCTTCCTTTCCTTCCTAAGAGAGTCCCCTTCAGCTCTATCTGGATATGATGGTTTATGATGCCTCTTTGAAGAGAAGAGCCTTAAGACTCAAAATTATTTAGACAGTCTAAAATATCTGCAGTATTCTATCAGGGTAATACTTAATGCTAGAATCTTACAGAAATACGTATGTAAGTGGAAAACACTTGGGACACTCACGGGTCTATTCTAAACCACAGTAATATTTCTGATGCCTTTTGAGTCTCCCTTAGGCTCTCTTCCCAATCCATGCTTGGGTATTTTATGAAGGAAGAAAAAAAAAAAAAAAAGCATGAATGTAAGATTAAGTATTCCTGGATGTTGAGAAGAAAAGACATTGCTACAATTTCCTCAAGAGAGGGAGAGTTTTACTTGTAACATTCTGCATTTTGGTCTCCCGGATGGTGGAAAACAGGAAGTAAAATGGCAATTAAAGCTAAGGCCCTTTCCTCAGGTATGATTGTGGTCCCTGTAGAAAGAGGAACTAATTTCAGTCTAGTTCAAATTTGGTTTGGTGTTGGTGACTGCTAAAAAGAAAAACAAGAAGCATGAGATGATCTTACCCTCAAGATGAAGCAATTCTGGGAGGTCTGGCTGGTCATCAGATGGATCTGCACTTTGCAACATCTGCAAGAGTTGGTCCATTTTATCCTAAAAAACAAATGGTGTAATTGATGTGCATGTATGTGTCAGTGGGGGAGAAGAAGAATTAATACTTTCAGGATAGTAAATTAAAGCGGTTTTCACAACGCCACTTGGCTATCTCAGGATCTAGAAACTACCCAAAATACTTCTGGTAAAATAACATGTGATCTGTATTTACCTGAAAGTAAGATTGTACAAGGAGAAGCCCAATGATAAAAACAATTATTAGTATGAGTAGAGTGTGTAATACAGCTTTTTTAATTCTACAAGTCCTTTTTCTGACCAGTATCTATTTTTCATTCTGCTTATTACATATGCAATACTACCACCTAGTGGGATTAGCACAAATGTATTTACAGAATATAAAGGAAAAAGACCACTGGTGATACAGGAAATAACTAAAACAGCACTCAAGATGTTCCCTTCTGAGTTACTTTGACACATTTAAGGCAAACGTGAAAACAAACGCACCACTTGACAATCTCCTTTTAGTCTGAAGATGCAGAGCTGTTTAATTCTGGAGTAGGGCCCTAAATTGAATGCAGTTTCCAAATTCAGTGTCAAAAATTTCCAGGACTGGCATGACACACAAGCAAATAAGGCAGTAGATATATTAAAAATATATTTTAAATGTACTTTTCCTAATCTTTCTCTTCTTATGTTCACTTGATAATTCAAAATGCTTTTGAGGTACAGGCTGGAAGGGTTAAATAACACTTGCTTTGTTATGTAAATAACATTTGTTTACATACCAGCTGAGAGAAGTGAGCATCATACTTACTTCATCAATATAAACTGGTTCAGGCTCAGGTTCTATGGTCTCTACTTGAACTTCATCACTGAACTGCACCGTTTTCTTTTCAGCTTTCACTAAAATATAAAAAGATTTACAAAACAATTAATATAAATTAATATTTTGTTGAAATCTGAAGGAAAAAAAAACTCTATTTATTCATGCAATTTCCACAAACAATTTTCTACATTGCCTTAAAAATGTTGCTTTTCACAACAGAACATATGGGTTGCTGAAAATTTTAAGGACATTACCCATAAAAAAAAAAAAAAGCTTCTAGTGAAAGGAAAAAAAAAATGGGGCCAAAGCACACAGGGGAAAAAAAACATGGATTACAAACCAGGTGAAGAGAGAATTTGAAAAAAAAAATTGCTGTTGCCTACAGAATTTATGTGGCTGCCAATGGGACTGTCAAATGAGTTTCAAGGAAGCTACTGAGAAAGAGGGCAGCCATCGGTAAAGAGTAAAGCATGTTTTTCATCAGATGACAGCATGGGTAGTTTTGATGCAACATAAATGACTGTTTGTGAGAGCACAGCAAGGGCACTGTAGTTCAACTTTGAGTATCAGATTAATTTGCAACCAAATTCTGAAGTACAAAAAATAGGGGAAAAAAGGACTGTATCACTACAGAAATATCCTTTGAATCATGGCAAGGCCTAACATATATAAACAACGCTACTCACTCATTTCTGGCTCAGCAGAAAGATCAGCTGTTACAAAATTAGATGGAAACAATCCTATACCCTGATGAGTTTCACCTTTCCACCAATTTGGATCACTAAAAATTAAAACAAAAATATATACACATTTTAAAACTCATGCAAACAGGACATTTTTTCCTAATAGTTACACTGTATGAGATATTTTCCCTTTTCCCCATAGAGAAGATCATTCTGAGGTTGACTATGGGAAGGTTTCTGCATCTTCTTTGAATCAGGCTGCAGAAAGAGCCCCACATCTATCCTGCTGTGGTATTCCTAGCAATCCATGGAGCTGAGTATTACAAATACATGAGTTGAGCTTCTCATTCTGCAGGATTATGTTGTTTCAGAACAAGTGGATTTGAATGCACTTTGTAAGATCATACCAAATAAGTTCATGAGGAAGCAGAGAGGAAGCCTTAAGTACAGCCCGAGTCAAAGTTGAATTTGCCTAAGGAGAACTTGAAGCCTTAAGTATACGAAGTTCAAGCATGCACTTGTTTTTCACAAAATGCTTTTACGGCAAAACAAATCTGCCATTCTGGAAAGAGCACCTATTTCTGACTATGATTGTACAATTAAAAGGATTTTTGCCAAGACAGCCACAGGAGCAAAAACTCATTTTAAAGAAAAACAAACAAACAAACAAACAAAAAAAAAAAACCAAAAAAAACCTCACTGCATTAAAACTCTAGAGTATACTTCAGTACTTAAAAACAGATTTGCTCATAATAGTATTGCTATTGGCATCCATCACTACCAATCATACCTAAGCAAAGCAGACTGCAATTACAGAGTTGTAATCTGTGAAAGCACGAAGCACTAGCACAGTTTACACATAAAACTGTTAACGGGACTAGAGAATTTAGAAATCTTTTCATTTCCTTAAAAATGTCTAAGTTATGAATTAAAGAGTTTGGATAGAATCTCAAAAAAACCCACACCCTTGAAAAGCATAATAAGAACACCAGAGCATGAGTGTGAAAACTCCAAACTAAATAAAAATCAAGTGTTGATGATTTAACATTCTAAAACTTTGAACACACAATGCAAGCCTTAAGATATGTTTCTAGTACGCAACCTATACAAGTTACCTGTCATCAAGTATAGTTATAAGTTCTCCAGCTTTAAACGTTAATTCATTGTCCTCAGCAGCCTCGAAATCATAGATAGCACGAACCTTTCGGCCCTCATGTTTGTGATTTGTTAAAAGGCTTGAGGTGCTCGGATACAAAGTGGAAAGCGATGCTTGCTGTTGCCTTTGTTCTTTTAGTGACAGTTCAATAGCTACAAAACAAAATTTATCCACATTAAAATTCTAAATATAAGCGAACTATTTCAAAATTTAATTGTATTGTACAGAAAATTCCAGTAAAATTCCATTTTTGTTGCTTCATAACCATTTTCTTTTACCTTATAAATGACTCTGTAAAACATAAAAGATTTTTAAACTATTAAACACCTACGGATGTGAACAAAATATCTATTGAGGTTTTCAACACGGACAGGATTCGGATGAGTGAGTAGTTCTTAAGCAAAAATGAGATAATTCATTGAAATCACAGAGGGATTTTCTCTCTGAATAAACTGTGAATGTGGAGGCTTTTGTGGGCTTTTTTGTGCTTATTTATTTATTTTTATTATTATTAGCATCTTGGACCAACACGCAATATTTAAAATCTCACTATCATATAAATGATACTCAACTTGTATTAGACTGCTTGAAATCATGAAGCGCTACAGCTGTTTCACAGTGTTTCTCTATCAGATCAGGAGTTTTTAGCCCAGACTCCTAAAGAAGCCAGAGCTAGATACTTTTGTTTGTCTCTCTGTCGATTCTTTTTTCTCCCTATCCCTCCCTGAATAAAAAGGCGCCTCTTGCTGCTGTTGTTTTAAATTTCATAGAGGGGAACAAATAATTAAATAAAGGTGTCAATCAGATTAAGCTCCTCTGAGTGTGTGAAACAAATGACCATTAAAAACCATTGAAAAGGGGACAAAGTCAGGGATGGAAAAACAAGGGATAGACAAGAAAACCATGAAGAACCCACACAGAAATTTCAACCTTGAAACTTGCATCCATAGGAAGACAGACTTTGGTGACTCTACTGTTGAAAGAGCTATTAATAACATATACAGATGGGCTCATTGGGATTAAAATAAATAAAAGCTTTATTATGCAATAACATTCCAAAGAATTTATCTATCAAAGATGAGAAACAGGAAAAATTTCTTAACAGTGAGGGTGACAGAGCACTGGAACAGGCTGCCCAGAGAGGTTGTGGAGTCTCCTTCTCTGGAGATCTTCCAAACCCGCTTGGACGCAGTCCTGTGCCACGTGCTCTAGGTGACCCTGCGTGTGCAGGGGGGATGGACTAGATGACCTCTAGAGGTCCCTTCCAACCTTAAGCATTCTATGAACCGCAGACATCCTTCAACCAAATTCTTTATCTATGCTATGAATAATTTATTTACACCTTGTCAGGTTGATTAGTTACATGTGCTCAAGTGAACAGCCCTTGTTACAGCTTTAAGCTCAAGTCTTGTTTTGCATACAGGGGCTAACATACTATGCCTTTTGTTGCTGAAAGGTTTGACCCCCAAAAAGTAGTAACTAACTAGATCTCAGAACCACACCTGAGTTTGAGAATAATTCTTTGCACATATCCGGCACAGGACTGGTAAATGACATATGCTTTTGTACAACAATAAATCAAAAGTAACCTTACGTTCCATACCTGTTTTGTGGGGCCACACTGAGATGTTGAACAGGCAACCAAAGGTTAGAGCAACCAAAGGCTTAAAATTGTTACATATAAAGAAAATCTTATTCAAAGAAATAAAATGCAAAGTGTATCTAAAATAGTGAAAACAATTTTGCATACCACTTATGCTACAAACATTTTCTGCTTCCATCAAATGTTCGAGCTCCAAACAAGTGCATTTTACTGGCTTCAGGAAGAGGGAAAAATGCAAATGCAGAACTTGCAAACATTCACATAATGGAGTAAGTTCTTAAAACGAAATTTATCAGACTCCTATAGTGTTATTCAGTTTGCCAAGATCAAGAAAAAGAAGCAATCCAGAATTATTCAACTTTGTCTTACCTATAGGATAATTTTGATTTCTAACTCTCCAAGAATTGAACAGAAGGAAGGGAATGGCAATTATAACCACAACTGAAAAGTATGTCATTCACAGCAAGGAAGGAGGCAAAACATTTGTGCCTGCTTTGATATTCATCATTAAATTGATTAGGTCAGCAAGTAAATGCACTCACCTTTAGCTAAATCCTCCTCTTCCTTTTTATTAGCTACTGTGCCAGGATCTTTAGCAACTAGGGCTGGGCTTGCTTTTGCCTGTTCAGCAGCCTAGTCAAAAGCATAAGATGTTAAAGTATATTTAAAGAAAAAACTGTATTACATCCATGTAACATATTCATGGAAGATATAAAAATCAAAAGTAAACCAGAGTATTTCATCTTTCAAAGGAACACTTTTAAGATAGGGATTTTTTTTTTTTTTGCTAAATGCATTGTAGAATTAAACTAAAATACAAAACTATGGATAAAATGAGTTTGTGATTCATTTTATATGCGGTTGTGAACAACAACCACAAGCTTTATTATACCTGTGAACCAATAGCTGGAAAAGTAACTCCTTGCTCCTTAAGATTTTTTATCATAGCAGATATTAAACTAAGCTGTGGGTCATTCTTGAATTCATCTGTCCATTCCACCATGAGAGCTTTCAGCTTTTCACAGACTTTTGGATGACCCTGGAGAAAAGGAGAAACTAGTTAAATAATTTAGCAATCTGTTCTTAATTCCTTAATGGTTCTTAATCCCTCACTTTCACAGGAGAGTATGAACATCATTCAAAAAAGAGCAAAACATGAGAGTTACATGTATTGTCTACATTTAATTACATACTAGCATTTAGTGTTTAATTGTTTTTACCTAACATTAAAATGAATCTGTACATACTCTTCCCTGAAGCAAATCAAAAATATAAATAATTATAGTCTGAAGTGGCCATAAGGATTTTTTTTATCCAGTAACTTCATCCCTCCCACCCCAAAATTTTCAGTCTCCCAGAACTAGGTCCCACTCTATTCCAGACTACCCCAACTCCCTAACTTTGAGAAGCACAAGCCAATGCAATACATCACCTTATTCAACACGTTGCTTACTTCACTAGCAAAATCTCTCGAACAGACTTCTAAATGAAAGATTTTACCACAGTTTGACACACATGCTCCTAGAAGCTAAAAACAAAGAGATTAGAACTCAGGAAGCTTTTTGCAATGTAGCTTTACAGAGAGGAAAAGGAATATAATAAAAAGTCACCTACTGTTAATGCCTGCATAGCGACATGGGGATCTTTATGGTTCACTCTCTTCATAATAGAACGAAGACAGTCCTTGGGCCTAAGAAACACAAGACAGTGTGTGAAAATGACATGATGAATAACTCCTATCACACAGATTTCAATGCACAAAAAGGCTAATGGTAGACAGTATATTCTCCCAAATAAAGTTAGCAAATTATTTAATAGCTTTTAAATAATGTTGCAATTAAAAGAACAGGTCTAGCTATTTTTATGTATAGAATTGTTAATTTTCGTCATTATCTGAAGATCTCAGTAAACTACATCTATTTTTGATAATTCTCTGTTGTCATGCACCTCCAACTAGAGACTTCCTTCTTATTTTTTAGAAACAGATTCACACCAGAGAAACCTTGACAAAAATGTATTTTAATATAATCACATATCAAAACTTATAGTCTAGTTTTAAAGAAAATCCTTTTTTGCTATATCAAATTTGTCTCCTTTCATTTAATTTTCATAAAACACATTTAAATGACCTACTACGAAAATGTAACATTTCTCTGATTCCAGGGGAGGAAAAATTAAGAGAGAAAAAAAGAAATCTGAATTTAAGCTAAGAGATTTCCATATTTCTGGAATATATACAGTAACCCTCCCCTTCCACATACACACACAAAATTAGTTTTCTATTGCACTGATATCCAAGAACTAACATGAAACTTAGGTATACATTACACCACTGCTTGGCTATACTATATTTGGCAGTGTCTCTGTTTTACAGAAATGCCCACCTCATATTTAGTAGTACTAATTATAGAAATGCTGCCACATAGCAAGACTACATATTACTCAGTGTATACCTTCATATAACTGATTATTTTCCTTATGCTGATCAATAGATAAATCAAACATGGTATTCATTAACAGTCCAAAATAGATATGAAGGTTACAAGATCTTTATCTCTTCGTTATCTAAGACTCTTCATATGTTTACATGATAAACCTGTTAATGGTTAAAAAGCAATTATTCTTAACTAGTGAGCAAGCCTATTTACGCCTTATGAGGGCAGGCACAAAAAGAGTATGACTATTAATATTAAGTCAGTATTTATAAAGGTAGGCTGCAGGGTGAAAAAGCAACAGTCCAGGAACAGGACCATTAATTTAATCTCTCTTATTATGTTAATAAAACAAAGTGAAATCTGAAATCTTATTTGAAAAATATAAAGTAACATGAAAGCCTCAAACCATGAGATCTTCTGTGTGCGTAAAGAACAAATTTCAAAAGGTAAAACAATTCAGTAATTCACAGAGGCTCCAGATTAATGGACAAATATACATTTTTAACACTCAGTGACCACATCTATTAAATGTTTCAACATGTTCAAACATTTAAAAATAAAACTTTTCGTTACATCTATATCAAACATCAGGCTGATCAATGCTTAGCTGCATGGACTAAGAAACTTTATTCTGCACACAACTGAAATGCTATTTTGCTTCAAATTAACTCATTACACAATTTAGTCTATACATTATGAGAAGCAGTATTCAAAAATCGAAAGAAAGGCATGAACTCCAGCTGAGCACAATTCTATTTATTCTAGAAATGTATTAAACAGTTCTCCAGAGCACACTGTACAGATACTAGGCCATGGTTCTGGTTCAGTAGTTTCGTAATCCAAGTTTCACAGGCAACACAGCAATCAGGAATACAAAGTAGTAAGGAGAAAATAGGACAAGGTAAGATAGAAGTAACAGTATTACATAATCACATATCCAGAAACATAAATTTCAGTTTGTGTTTTATAAATTAAAAATAATGCATTTGATTAAGATTAAGAATTTTGTTATAGGTGTTCAATAAAGAAAAAAATCCCATAGCTGGAATCTGAAATACTACTTTGCACAAAATATTTTGCAATTTTGGAAATGTATTTTATTGTTAGAGATAAATGACTATGGGGATGAAAAGTACACCGGTGACTCAATTTCCCTCCCTACTGTTAGAAACAACTAGTCAGAGATTAATGGTTGTTCTGTCAAATATACATAGCTAAAGCTACATAAAATGCTATTTATACTTGGCTACCTTAGTGGGGGAAAAACAAGCAAACAAAAAAAAGGGTAGTTTGGAAGACTGACCTCTCTTGTATGAGCAGGCAAACACTGATACAGACACACTTGCTTTGTTTCTTAAGGTCTTTTCATTAGGAATTCATAAACTACAGAGCCAGTTGTATAAGCACTTTCACTTAGACACTGTGCAGTGCCTATACCTTTCCCATAGTCAGATAATCAGTGATTATCAGATAGTGAAAGATTATCAAAGCTTTTGTAGCAAATAAATTTCGAAGAATGAAGCACAAGAGCAGAAAAGGATATTACTTTTAATGGTAAAACTTCATGTTCTGTTTTAATCAAGTTTGAGTTGAAAAGGCCAGCTTGCTTTTAAATATTACCTATGTTCCCAAAAACGGCACGCAAAAAAGCTCAGTTATCCTATGCAACTGCACAGTTGTATTACATACGAGAATAAATCCAGAAATTAAAAAAAAAAGTCTCACAACTAAACAAATCTGAGATCACTGTACGCTACTACTAAAAAAAAATGGATTAAGCGGAATTCTCACTTACTGAAAGACAGTACTTTTGCTGATAGAATTAAGGAAAGAACAATTAAATATGTAGCAATTGGTGAGTCCATATTGCCAAGGTATATCAATGTTAAAAAAGAAAAAAAAAATCCTAGGAAAAATCGTAAAACCCTCTTTGTAACTGAACAGGCTTCTGATGATACCCCTGTATCCACATAAGGTGCTGAGAGACTACCCCTGTATCCACATAAGGTGCTGAGAGACTAAGACGAGACAAGGTACGATATCAACACTATGCAGCAACGAACTGCATTTTCTGTTGTAATAAAGTTACAACAGAAACAGAGCTGTTCTAGTTTTCTGTGGCTTTAGGCATACAACTATCTACATTTGAAATGCCACAGGCACACATCATAATTTAGACTGGTACAAAAGCAAATCCATAGATAGAGATTATATAATATAAACCTGTGCCAAGAATCAAAAAAGAGGCAGAGCCTTCATGGGATCAGAATTGGGAAAAAGATTAAAGCATATCTCAGTAGAGAACAGTAGAATTCCTGTTTTCCTGCTGCAGGGATCTGTGTTGCTGGGGATTTTAAGTGTTAAAATTCTTAACAGGAAATTTCTATTTGTTTTGCCTTCCTGTATAATTTGACATAACAAAGATAATAAAAAACAAAGATAACAACAACAACAAAACACATTATCATCAAGTCTTAGCAGAATTTTATTTTAAATGAAGAGTCAGCTGGTAGCGTGCTACTACAGGCAGACTAAGTACTACAAAGGTTAAAGTAATGTGGCGGGGGGGAAGTGGAGGGAGGAAAAAGCACACACTTTTATACGAGAAAGAAATGTAACAAAAAAAACAACTATCCCAGAGAAATTTAGCTATGCTTCCAGAGATTTCTGGTTTCACTTGTACTCCCTAGGAGCAGTGTCCTGTAACTAGATACATTCAAGCACTCCTCAGGATAAATCACTGTTAGGCTAAACCCTGCCTATGGCTCAGTATTAACAGATAAAGGAGCAGAGATACTTTTTTGTATGCGCGCCCCCCCTTTTTTTTAAAAAAAAAAATACAGAGATTGGTGTGACATATTAACAACTTCTTGGTTTTATCTTAATCAGAAGTTTACACAAAGGCACAGACATCCCAATATGCCATGCTATTCAGAAATACTCCTCTGGAGATGATCTCTAATCTCAAGAAATAAGATTATTTGCTGACCTGCCCTTTGGAACAAAAATCCCAGGTGGAAATTTGTTACCTGGCGTTACCAGTCATATTGTTTCCTGCAGCCTTAAAAACAATCCATGTCCTTCTTAGAGGAGTCTTTCACTAGACAGCAGCAATAGGCATATCTCTCTGAAGACGTTTCTTAAAAGTACAGTCACATAGATTGCTTGGGGAAGAAGCATACATATTTCCAAACTTGAAAATAATACTAAACATTTCAATATATTTAGAGTCTTTAAACTGTATTATTTGCCAATTCAAATTATACTTTGACTTTTCAAGTTCAAAAAATGAGGCCACGCATAAGGCCTATGAGAGAGTTCAATAAGGACTCAATAAAAGAAGCATTGAGAGTAGAGTCAGTATTAAGATATGTTTCCTTTCACATCGGATTTTCAAAATGTCCAGTTATCAAAGCCCTTACGTCAGAGAAAAGCTTGTCAAAACAGGAAGAACCGTGCAGCCTCATTGCTTTCTGTGATGAAGTGGCTGGTAGTCTGAACAAGTGGAGGGCTGTACGACTTTAACAAGCCTGCAGACACAGTCTCCCATCCTTATTGCCAAACCGGTGAGATACGGGCTGACAAAGCAAGCAGAAAGTTGTTTGGACTGTTGGGCTCAGAGCTGTGAACAGCGGTTCAAGGTCCAGATGGTGGACAGTAGTTAGAGCAGCCCCTCAAGGGTCACTGCTGCCGAACGTGCGTCCTCACAAGGATCTCAACAGGCTTTGCACGTGTTTGCTGATGACACCACGTAGGGAGGAGCAGCCAAGATGCTGGAGGGCAGGGCTGGCGGCTCTCCAGCCCGTGCAGCTCCCTCCGAGATGCACCAGGGAACGAGGCTGACCGGAGCCTCACAGAGTCCAACACAAGCCAGTGCAAGACTCTATGTCTGGGAGAACCCTGTGCCTGGGAGAACCGCGCCGCACTGCCTGGGGGCAGCTGCCCAGGAAACAGCCGCACAAAAGAGGACGAGCGGGCCCCACGGAGCAGTGTGTGAAAAAGCACAGCCAGTTTTGTCCAGTTCTGTGCTCCCCAGTGCAAGAACATGAAAAATGTTAACAGATCACTTAATATCTCCAAAGGAAGAACTGGAAAATACAGGGAAATATAGGGTAAGTCCTTACGTTTTCCTTGTACGGATAGTAAATTCACTCTACCATAAGTGAACTGACAAAAAATTGGAAAACTTTATACAAGATAAAATTTTCATTCCTCTCATCTAGGAAGTCTTCATTATGAAGATTAAAATAACAAAATTCAAGTTGCTTGGGGGGAAAAGCTCTAAAATCACTTACCCTGTGCGTGACTGTCCAACTTTATCACAAATATCTAAGATGAGGCCCCAGTCCTCTGCAGTGTTCATCTCACTGGTTGCTTTCTCTGATAAAAAAAAAAAAAAGCGTAAGTAAATTAAAATACAAATTAAAATATAAGAAGGGAACTTAAGATGAAACTGACAAAGATGTTATAGCAGTTATCTACATACTGCTAAATGCACAGTAAAATCCTATATTTAACTTATTTATATATTAAAACTGTCCTACCCAATTCCTTTAATTTCAAAGCGTTCACTTGCTATCATTGATTTAAAATTAAACATACTTTCCCCACACACACTAATAAATATATACCCTGAATATCACAAAAATTGTATCAGCTATCAAGAGAGAGTTTTTCCCCCATTTGGAATGGCATTTACCACATCCTCAGACACAAGCTGACGAGTCTTGCATTATTTTATATATGTTAAAAGTCAACAAGTAGGCCTCAGAAATTCATGAATAATCACTAAAATTGACCTTTATTTCTCCATTCTCATCTTTACCCTGGATGAAATAGTCCTCTGTCTCTTTTCAGCTATAGAGACTGCTAAACTAAAGTTAATCTGACAAAAGCCAGTGAGGCTCTTTCTGCCTGATTTCTTGAGTAGGACATAAGAGTCCCTGTAGAAAAGTGAAGAAATAGAGTGAAGGTGGAGAAGAGAGGAATTTCACCTCAGAACACAAGACCCCTCACTAATTCTGCCCAGAGTAGCCTAGATCCACATAGGAAGTAAAAAACACAAGTGCTAAAGGGCACCTTACACTGCAGCTGCACGAAAACCTGCAAGGTTGGATTGGTGCTGGAGAGCAGGAAGGATCACGAGCCATTTCCAACACTTTCTGACCAGAGGGAGACACAGGGAGAGAACAAGAGGTAGCTTTTGGTTCCCATCCCCGCTTGAGCCCCAACCCCTTTTAATCTACAAAATGAACCTCAGAAAAGGGTACCTTGCCTCAGGCAATGTCTCAGAGGCTGCTGAGATAGTTTTACCAAGGGAAGCAAAGATTCCCTAAAAAAACTTCTATTGTAGGATTCATAATCAATACTAGCACTCAATAGATTGCAGAGAAGAGAGAAAGACAAAGAAAAATATCTGATCGCCAGAAGTTATGAGGAATTACTCAACCCAGTGCTGATGCTCTCATTTTCCATAGGCGAGTTTCCCTGCCCTATGAGGTGACAAAGCAAAGTTCTACAGCTGCATGCTCTCAAAGTACTGTTAAGGAAAAATTTAATTAAAAAAATTAAACTCTACCTTATACAACTAGAATGATGACTCCTTTCCAAGTTGTGCTATGTGATACAAGCAAAACAGCAAAGCAGCATATGGAAATTATTTGATTTCAAAGGACTGTCACATTCAACAAAAATATCAAAAGCTCTGGGTAGACACCATGCTAATATCTGGCACCAAGAAATACTGACAAAACAACAAACCACTGCATTTTTTTTTTTGGTGCAGTGTTCCAGATCATGCTTAGGACTAGTGCAACTAACAGCTGGCAAAAACACTGCATTTTTAGCCTTGTTTGTAAAGAAACACGGCAACTGTCAAGCAAACATTAACAGCAAAACCATAATGGCAGAATCCCATCAGCAAGTGAACTAGAAAAGCTAAAAGAGAAAACAGAAGCATGAGATTCCAGCTTGCTTAAATCAATGAATGTTGCTCCATTACTCCAGAGCTTAGTCAACTCTAAATCACCTGTGGGCAGAAGATGGGTCATACGTGGAGGGCACTAAAGCAATCGCAACCCCGCTACGCTCACAGGACCCGAGCGCGGCCGCTGAACTGCTGCAAAGCCGGCCTGGAGCCGGGGGCATCGGAGCTGCTTTGGGGAGCAGGGAGCCTGGGATAGCAACGCTGGCGGAGCGAGCTCCGGCTCGGCTCGCTGCTCTCCCCAGCCCGGGACGGCTCCCAAACATTGTTCGTCTGTGCTTTAGCAGCCAGGCACAGGAGAAATGCAAAGCGGATGAAATTTGGGGGACTTTCTGTTCCCTTGTGCCAGCAAATGACTCTCCCCGGATGAAATTTGGGGGACTTTCTGTTCACCCTAATGGGCAGCTCTCTTCCCTTGTGCCAGCAAATGACTCTCCTTTCCTCACATCGCCAAGGAGCAATTGTATGGCCACTGCTAATGTCTTTTACAAACTAAAAAGTAAAACAACGCATGCTTAAGGTTTGATAGCAAACAAAGCGTTGATAGTTCTATGCTAATTTAAACAGCACAGGTAAAAACTGTAAATAAGTTGGGAATTAATGAAATCCCTAATCCATACTAGCCATGGCAATTCAAACCTTCATGTTGATTCTCTGTAAGAATATTCTGCAAAATTATTCATGAAGAAAATTATATGACTTCTATCATGGTTACATCCCTTCTCAGAAGTTAAATTTAATCCTGCACAGTAAAGTGCATTTGTTTGCAATGCCTCCCTCTACTGTTAGTCAGGATATTTTTGCTACCAACAACGCTGCATAGTTGCTACCAAAACTCAGTCTAAAGCCCAGTTCCATTTTGCACCGTCTGTTTCCTCTAGAAACCAACATCTATTTTTTTCCTTACATTAAAAGAAATAAAAGAACTAGCTATAGAACAAACTTTTGTACTACAAATTTTGTAGAGTTCCAGTTGTACTCCATCTCAGCGGAGGACAGTAAAAGTTTAAGTACACACTGAGGGCTCGAGGCAGCCAATGCCGCTGGCAGAGTGTTAGTGAGTTACTGTTGCCTCTCGCCACTTGGGGATCGCGAGCAACAGAGACACTTTGAGAAAATTCCAAGGCTGCATTAGTGTTTCACAGACAAAATTATGACTTGATATTACACAAGTCAAATTACTCTAACCGTTACCACTGAAAACACACGAATCTTCCCCATTTCTAACACGAGGCACATGTTCCCAGCCAGAAAGCTTTGGCTACCTTCACTGTTTTCTCAACCCGCCTACCAGCTGGCACCCTACCAGTTCTGGCAAATCACCAACAACCTCTGTCTTAGCACCGAAGTACCCTCAGAGAGGTGGAAAAACAGAAATCCATTCTTAAAAATCTTAGGGTAGAAGACAAAAGATACTCAAAGTTAAATTTGATGTGTTTCTTCATCTCCCATCTCTGTGATCAAAAATTATTCTGTCACAGCAATATCAATGTTTACCCCTCGCCAACCTCTTTGTTATCACGAAGTCTTATTCAACTTACCAAATACAAGATCCAGTAGCATTTTGGGCTTCCCTAGAACGATTTTTAAGGACAGGGCTGCTGGCCTCCTGAAAGCAGCACTCGAAAAGCTCATCCGCCTCCTGGGAACACAAAGGAGCAGGAGCAACGTGGCACGGAGGCGCCTGCTCCTGAACCCGGCCTCCCGCTTCCGAAAGGGCTCTTGCCACCTGCGCTCTACCACCAACAAAAGGCTTCTTTCTCCCAGCATAAACAAGGCCCATGAATTTTGACTTTCAACTATGTAAAGAAATGTCTAAGAAAATATATGAAATAATAACATAAGCAAGTATATAGTAATACTTCCCTACAATGCCACTCCGTGGCCAACAATTCACAGCTCTATAAATCATGAGTCAGAAATGGTGCTTAAACCACAGAGCATAATTATAAATTATCTATTATCTATAAAACAAAGGATTAAGTGTTCTGGAGAAAAATGCATGTTCTCTGACACAAATCACAGCATGTCTGCATCTTCAAAATTTCTCAAGAAACTCTAGAACATTACCTCCTTGAAAAGAAATATCTAGAATACAAAACTAAGCTTTCAAACATTTTATCATCATTGCCTGGATTTTTTAAGCTAAACCTCTGAACAAAATTTATTAGAACTTGAATAACATACACCTCGAGAAAACAATATTCCTGAATATAAATGCTATGTATGCTATGTATTTTGCTGAGATACAGTATGAAAGCTTGGGAGATGGACTTATACCTTATGATCAGCAGCCAGGCCACACAGATCTGGCTATGAGTTACCTTTACTAACATTTTGGTTCTGGTGAAAGTATACGGGTTCTTGCACTGAGCTTCACCCGCTGCCTGACTGGAGAGAAAGAAAACAAACCGACCACACACACTACGACCATTCCCCAGTCACTCCTGACACTCAGTGTGCTAGATACACTAGATAAACTAGCACACTCAGTGTGCTAGATACACTAGATAAACAACCACAACATGAAGTTCGATGAGCTTTTGGGGTACCCAAGTAAGCCAGCCTCTTCTTGTGCTGTAAAGTCTCACGCTTCTGTCAATCCCCCACTTCCCTCTGGTTTATATAAACTTGAAAAACCTTGAAGCATCTATTAAGTTCTATTTTCTCCTCTGGCTTGGAGCACTATTCAAAAACTATAACCAAGGCAACTTCTAGATATTTACATTGTGATTCTATCTGAAGTTTCCAATTATGGCCGAAACACAGTTACGACTGACAACTTCAGGACAGAAGAAGTAAATCCTTCTCTGGGAACATTATCTCCTGAAATAAGTTTATCATCAAGTTTAGAAAGTTCTAGCAGGCATAAAAGTAGAAAATGCTGAATAAAAGCAGAGCCAAATTAGATGGTTGTCTTCTCAGGTACTGGGAAAAAAAAGTGCAAATACATTTGTATTTTTACAATACTTTTGTATTTTTACAATACTTTGGAATTTTGGTAACTGTTTCCTCTCTTAATAGTTTAATTAGGCCTGGAAAACCAAAACGGATTATCAGTTTTTCTTTTTGTATGACTGGAATTAAGGTAATTATATTTTGCTCTTTTTGCCTGTCAAAAATAATGAAGAAAAGAATCCTGGATGTGTTAATCTATTCTGGAAAAGAAAAAAAATCTCTTTCATATTAGCCACTCAGCATTTCACTCATACGCTCGGAACTGCACAGAACAGTATGTCCAAGCATATTCCACACGGGCGAGATTGAAAATAACCACTAGCAAGCAATGCCAGTGTAGCCAGAAGTCAGAAATCCAGATAGGCTCAGCAATAGTAAATAAAGGCTGTTTATATCTCAAGCAGTGACCTACACAAATAGTTTCTTGAATTTTCTTTCAAATTGCTAACTGAGGTTAAAGCCATTACCTAACTTCAGCTTAACTGCATTCCCACCTACAGTATTTATGAAGAGCCCTTGCAGAAGGAGGGCCAGCTGGTCTGAGGCAAAGCAGTGACTGAGCAGTGACAAAGCAGGTGACCCAGCTGATGGGAGGAACCTTAACTCATTCCCTCAGGAGACTGCATATATATATATACATAGATAGATAGATAGATAGATAGATAGATAGATAGATAGATAGATAGATGCAATAAATATATATGCAGTGTAGGGAGCAGACTGGCCAGGACAGACATCACTCAGCTCAATAAGCTGTACTGCATGAGGACAAAGGTAAGGACAAAGGTACTCAAGATCAGGTAAGAAAATGCTGAAAACACCAGTAAGACAAGTTGGGCAGAATAATTTTGGCCTTTATGGCAAACTAGACCAAGTCCATGGAACAACCTTTCACCTACAGATATTTCAACAGAGCAGGAAGATGAGCACATTTTGGATATGTGAGAATGATGACTGTTACCCTGTAAACAAGGTGGATCCCAGACAAGTAATATGAACAAACAACGCCAGGACCTATTTGCAGAGACCCACATATCAAGCCACTGTAGAACAGGCATTTCAGAAGAAAGATGATCAGCAAAACATAAAGCTGTCCACATCAAATACACAGTGTTATTTTTATCAACTTGAACAGACTCAGCACGTTGGAGAACTGCTTTGATTCTTCCAAACACTGGTGATACAAAGCACACTGCCACAGCTGAGAGCAGGGAATGCACTTAAAATGACAGCTCCTCCCTGGGAGGGGACTAAGAATTACTAAGAAAGGAGGAGTCTACAAAACTCCCTCACCTTTGGAGCCCTAACCTGCTCCAAAGAGCCCAAATGAAGGTGAGTCTGGTGATTCACTTGCAGAGAGGGATACTTCTAAAAGACAAATAATTGCTGACTATATACACAGAAGAGAATTCACTCATTTGTATCCTGTCAGCATTGCCTGTTTGCATTGAGAATACGCACTAAAGGTACCTATAGTGATAAACTCTTTTCTTCAGATGCATTATAAATAACTGCAAAAGAGGATGGCTATAGCTTCTTTCCTACAGATGCTTTACTCAGTCCCTCTGCTAGCTCACAGTTAATATCCTTCTCCTTAAAACAGTGCTAAGAAAAGCAGTAGGTCAGCTTGGGAAGAAAGTGTCAGTCTCACAACAAGCTGGACCAAAACCTGAAAGTCATCGTGCCTTGCAACTAGAAGCAATTTAACTTGCAAACAGCATTCTCCATAATTCTCCAGGGTCTGAAGTCTCCTCTGCAACAATTTTTCCTCCCTTTGACAAGTTTGGGCTAAATAGACAAAGGCCTAGTTCACAGAGATATGTAACTTATTGGCTTTGAATAAATATAAGGAGTAACCAGTTTAAAAAGCTTAAGTAATTTATCATGAGAAACTGTACTTAGGAAGCTTGGTCAAAACATATCTAACAAACTTTATTACACTCTAATCTATCAGGCTAAATGCTGTGGTACCTTAACATCCTTATTACCTATGATGGTATTTAATCCATGTGTATTATTTAAAACCTAAAGAATTTAAGCATGAAAAGATGCATGACCACTCAACGAAAACAAGAGAAAAATTATTGTAACTCACACCATGTTGAGAATTCTACTGTGTAATTAAGCTTCATGCTTAGTTACTGCAGATAGCAAACCCGAATCTCTCCTTTCTTACCACTCATGTGATGCCTCGAACCATTACAGCAGCTAAAGAGAGAACAAGCTGAGCACACTGAGTGAATGCAAGAAGTGCCCTCATCCATTACCGTGCATTAAGGAGAAAACCATTAGAACTAGTTACTTCCAT